TTCCCTTTAGTTCTAGGGTTGATAACCGTGTGTCGAGTCCTTTTTCTTTAATTCATTCCGATGTTTGGGATCCTTATAAAGTGGTCATATAATGGATATAGATATTTTGTCATTTTTGTAGATGATTTTTCAAGGATGACGTAGCTCTATCTAATGAAAGAAAGAAGTGAATTGTTTACCATTTTTCAGAAATTTTATGCTGAGATTCGTAATGAATTTGGTACCCACATTAAAGTTTTCCATTCTGATAATGGCCGTGAATATTTATCCTCATCATTTCTAGAATACCTGGACCAACACGGCATTATACATCAGACCTCATGTACCTACACCCCACAACAAAACGGGGTGGCTGAGAGAAAGAATCGCCATCTCCTGGAAACAGCACGATCCCTAATGCATCACATGAATGTTCCTAAACCCTTTTGGAGTGATGTAGTGCTTACCTCTTGCTTTCTGATTAATCGGATGCCCACGTTCATCCTTGATGGTCATTCTCCGTTTACGGTCTTGTTTCCCGCTTTGTCTCTGTTTCCTCTTACGCCTAGGGTATTTGGGTGTGGCTGCTTCGTCCATAATCTGGGTCCCGGGAATGACAAGTTCGATGCCCGCTCTCTCAAGTGCATCTTCCTCGGCTATTCTCGGACCCAGAAAGGGTATAGGTGTTACTATCCTAGTTCTCGACAGTTCTTTGTGTGTGATGATGTCACATTCTTTGAGTCTACTTCGTTCTTTTTGGGGTCCGGTGATTCTTCTTCCTCCTCTTCCACTTCCCGTTGCCGACCCTCTTCCCCTTGTTCCAGCCATGACCAAACCCTTGCCTCCGATGCCACCACCTGTTGAACGCCCACCTATCCATCATGTGTATACACATCGCCCACGCGTACCAGCTACTACTCCTCCGACTACATCTCCGTCGATAGATCCGACACCAGACCCGCACTCAACATCTGAGCTTGATCTCCCCATTGCCTTGCGGAAAGGTAAATGTACTTGCACCCTTCATCCTATTTCTAATTATGTTTCACTTACTCACCTTTCTGCCTCCCATTGCCAGTTTTTCACCTTGTTATCATCAGTTCTTGTCCCTAAGGATGTCTAGGAAGCCCTTGCCTCTCTAGGGTGGTGCCGAGCGATGGAAGAAGAACTCTTTGCCCTTCATCATAATCATACTTGGGACCTCACTGCTCTTCCTCCTGGGAAGCAAGTTGTTGTTTGTAAATGGGTTTATACGGTTAAGTATTTGCCTGATGGTAGTGTTGAACGCCTGAAAGCGCGATTRGTTGCAAAAGGGTACTCCCAAACCTATGGTATTGACTACACAGAAACCTTCTCACCGGTTGCTAAGATAGGGCCAGTTCGTGTTGTGATCTCTCTTGCAACCATGTATGATTGGCCGCTATATCAGCTTGATATCAAGAATGCCTTTTTGCATGGTGACTTACTCGAGGAGATCTACATGGGGCAACCTCCAGGGTTTGTTGCTCAGGGGGAGGATGGTAAGGTGTGCAGACTAAGGAAGGCTATATATGAGCTTAAACAGTCTCCTCGAGCATGGTTTGGTAGGTTCAGTGAGGTAGTAAAGAAGTTTGGTATGAAACAGTGCAAAGTTGATCATTCTGTATTTAGTCATGACTCTCTGGGAGGAAAAATACTGTTGGTGGTGTATGTAGATGATATTGTTAATACCGGGAATGATAACATGGGTATTGACAAGCTGAAGACTTATCTACATGATCATTTTCAGACAAAGGATCTTGGTAAACTGAAATATTTCTTGGGGATAGAGGTAGCAAGATCCAAGTATGGTATTAATCTGTGCCAGAGGAAATATGTGCTTGATTTGCTGGAAGAAACAGGCTTGTTGGGTGC